GTAGTAGCAGTAGTAGTAGTAGCTGTCCGCAGGGGGGGAGGATGAAAAGAAAAGAAGAGAAGCGCCTGACGACTACTTTCTCTCGTGCTTCCTTTTTGAAGTGGAGCCTCCGTGTCTCTGACCACCGGCGCTGAGGTAAGCAGGCTCAGGAAGGCCTTTGCAAATCCACATGAGCTGCCAGCACTGTAGCCTGCACTATGTAGCATAGCTTCAGCAATTACTGCACGCGCGCATGTTGCAAGAAAGCGTTGTTACTCCGACACTGCACAGAAAGCCCTCAAAGTCCAGCAAGTGCCTCGCACGCCCAAGGAAGGGAGATTTCCAGGAGCTTCCTGGCAATCTCGGCACCCTGACAACCCGAGCATGTGGCCCTCTAAGACAGCTTCTGGCCACACCTCTGGTTGCAATGACCTCATGATTTCGGAGCATGCAGTCGCCAGCGCCTCGCGCTTGCGGCGGTCTCCGCATGTTGCAACCACGCAGGGAAACGGTCCACGAGCCTCGGAAAACGACTCAGAGGCCTTGGGCCGGCACGGAAGTGAGCGACAGCTTCCCCAGCACGCCAATGAGTACACTGAGTACACTTGGGGTTCAGGAATGATGCTTCATCCGAACAACTCTACTGAGACTGTAATGCGAACACCAAAAAAAATCTGGCTTAGTGATTTACTCATCTTTCTCGGACAAGTCAACGCGTTCGTCGAATCTGGAAGCAGAGTTGCATCAAGCTCCAACACGCCAGTCGCGGGCTTGCACAGTTGCATAGAAGCCCACAGACCTCTGCAGGGAAATAACATGTAAGAGTGCATTGAACACATTGAATAGCTGTGGAATGCCACTTGCAAGCCCTAGTGCGCTGCTATGTTGTGCGTGCCACTGAGTATATCGATCCAGCAAACGGCATCCGGTAGCAGAGGCTTGCCACAGTAGAGCTCATGCTGCTGAAGTCTTGGAAGTCGATTCCCTGCAGCCATCTTCGATGCAGCCACTGGCACAGGCTGCAGTAGAGCAGCCAGTATCTCTGGGGATGCCATCAGCTGCGAGGCCTGAACTGCAAGTCATGGACAGTACACCGAAAGCAGGCGGACTGAATGGAGCGGATGTAATCTCAATGACCAACCGGGGATCGGTGTTCTAGGCGGCCATCGGATTAGACTGCTGGAGTTGCTGAGTTTCCTTTCTTTCGTGCTACGACGTGTCCATCCCGAAAACCCTGGAGTGCTTCAACTGCACAAATCACTCAGTCAACACAGCAGGGGGATGCCATGCGACCAGCAGCTTGCACCGCGGCGCCAAGGCAACTGTAAATGCCTGCAGAAGCGCGGTCACAGGAGGATCGATACAGAGTGGCCACACATGATTCAACTCCTTTTCAGAGGTCGAGATCGAATACGCGAAGACCGTCCCTGAGAGCCTCTACACATCGCACTTTCGCAGGCCTTCCACTCACACTCTTGCTTGACATTTGCGGGCTTGCGCTTGACAAATCTCGCAATCTGTCAGATCCTGAGTGCCGAAGAAGCAGACGCGTTCGCGCGAAAGCGGGAGCCACTCAGCATGCGGTACGAGAACTGTGTAGGGACCGTCCTGCCTCCAGCAGTGCTGCCAGGAGGTCTGGGGGTAAATCCTGCCTTGGCAGGATCGCTTGAAATAGCAAGTCTGGCACCCGGCCACTTGATCATTCTTCATGTCTGTGAAGTCACGAAGAGGGGATGGTGATCTGTAGAATCGAAGGGAGCCGGTGGAGGGGATTTGCCAGAAAATGCGTGCTTCTGAGGCACGCTTTGGCCAGGCTCGGGAGAAGCTGTCGCGCAATGGCCTGCCCGGCTTGCTGAGGTGCTTCCACCCGCGCCCATGTTGTATAGTTGTACAAGCTTTCACAGGAAGTCTTCCAACTTCTCCTCCTGCTGAACCTTGTGTGATCCCCGGGAACCATGAACATACACGTGCTCACAGGCGGCCATGTTATGCAGACAGTCAGAGCCAGCAGGGCTTTATAAGTGCTCAGGGGCGCAGCAAATCACCAGAACCAAAAACTGGCTTTCAATGCTCATGGAGGAGAACTGCCCGACACCCGACCCAGCCAAGAAGCCAAGATGTGCTGTGCCATGAAGTTGGCAGCTTCTGTCGTTGTCCCACCACGGAACATGCGGGTCCTCGCGTGTTTACCATCTCATGCCATCGTGGCGAGCAAACTCCACAAGCACAAGGTAACCCGACCAGCGTCCGAAGCAAGAGCTCAGAAAGCCCTGGAACACAGAAGTGTCGCATTTCGGTCACGCTGACCACACCCTGCAGAGCTGCGGCGCTGCCACGCTCTGCTGCCGACTGTGCCAGTACTGGGAATGCCTGCAGGAGGACCTTGCTGCAAATGCGGATGTCGTTGCAAGCGTGTTGACAAGTAAGTAGGCCTGCTGGGTCCTGACATGCATCGAATTGGTATAATTGTCTTGCACTGTCTAGGTCAAACTACGTCTCGCAACTCATGACATCGAGGAAACCCTTGAGCCTTTCCAGACTCTAGCATGCCAGAAAGGAGAACATCCTCGCATTATTGACAGTACAAGAATGAGGTGGTGTGTGAAGTTTGAGTTTACAAGTCGTAAAGCACTACTTCGTTTGATGCAACCATTTGTCATCATGTAACAGACATGCTCCAAGCGGCTGATTGCGAGGCCTCGCTGTTCCGTGTCCGCGACAGCACAGATGTTAGGAGCGTAACTGCAGCCTCCGGAAGAAGAGCGCAGGACTCAGGACCCTCAGGCTCGTGGCCATGGCACCTCGCATGCAGACTCGCTATGACAGCCAAGGGCTGCTTCCATCCAGGGCCAGTGCTGCGAAAGCCACTCCTGAGACAAGCGTTCTGCAATCTATGCACGTCCCTGAAGCCAGTTCCAAGGCAAACTAAAGAAAAATGCAAGCAAGGCTTCCAACGAAAGTTCAGGTCGCGCTGGCTCTGTCAAGGCCAGCAGGTTGAAGAAAAGGCGCCACAGCACCACCTCGCTCATGGCAGCGATGCAGATGCAAGCATAAAGAAGTGAATACTCAAACATAAGCTATATGTGCGAAATGTATCACGAAGCAATATCACATCCATAGTAGGACAAGTAGCAGTTAGAATTGATAGTCGTCTGGTCTGGTCTGGTCTGGTCTGACAAGGCATGGCAAGACATAGCAAAATATTCTATGGAAACACATACGATAATGCAATATATATATATATGGCACAATAATTTTAATGTTGTATAGTAAAGTGAAGTACAATAGAGTACAGTGCAAAACAGTGCAGAACAGTATAGTACCGCACAATACAGCACAGAAAGTGTTGTGAGCATCGCGCCGTGTAGGCAGTGTATGTGTGTGCAGCTTATGTGCATGTGTGCAGGCACATACACGTACACACACACATACATACATAGATACATACATACATACATACGTACATACATACATACATACATCCATCCATCCATCCATCCATCCATCCATCCATCCATCCATCCATGCATGCAACATGCCACCATGCAAACATGCATACATACATACATACATACATACAGACGCACATACATACATACATACATACATACAAACATACATACAAACATGCATACATGCATGCAGGACACACATGCATACAGACATACATACATACATACATACATATACTCTATATATATCTATATATATATATATAGTATATTGTATGTATGTATTGTATTGTACTGTATTGCATCGTATTGTATTGTATTGTATGCGTATGTGTCTATATATGTATGTATACATGTATACATCTCTCTCTCTCTATAATATGTACGTAGCATCTTTAAACTCTATTCGGCGTAGGGCTTGGATCTGTATGATACATACATCTATAATAAATATATGTGCAAAATCAAAAAAACTAGATAATTCAAAAAACTTAAATACGAAAAACCATTCAATCTTTAAATCGCCGGGGATGAAAACATGAAATAGTTTTAAATTCATAAATAGGGGGAAAGAGGTCAGTAACACAGTGGCACGGGGAGTCACGGCGTTGGAAGGGGAAGGGGTGGGGGAGGGGGAGGGATAGGGGAGAGGGGAAGTGGAGTGAGGAGTTCGTAGACAGGGTGGCTAGAGGGGCTGGGGTAGTGGGGGGCAGGGCGAGGAGGGGGTAGGGGGCACGGCAGAGGCGGGACAGCAGCGGGCCGAAGAAGAGGAGGAAGGGGAGAGGGCAGGGCATCCATTTTAAAATTGTAAATATCTTACATATTCTAAATAGTTCGAATACATTGAACAAGTTACATACAAGTTGCTTAAATCATCTAAATTATACTGGAAAGGAAATACTGTTAAATAATTGAAATACCCCTTATTTACATTATGTTATAACGGAAATTCAACTGTTTGAATCATTTAAACTGTTTCAATAAGAAGAGAAGCCCTTTTAAATAAGTAAAAGACCAGTATTTACATTACTTAAATGATCTTGTAAAGAAAAAAGTTTGAATTGTTCAATCAAATTAAATACCGACCTGATTCCCTGAATGAAACCTTTCCAGGACTAGCTACCCAATTTAAACATGTTAAACAATTTAAATACTCCTTATTTAAACTATTCAAACTTTTTACATGATTTCGGAGATAAAACAATTTAACTAATTTCGAACAACTGAAATAGTGGAACCATGTAAACTATTTAAGTAAGGGGGAAGCCCTTGAAAGAAACAAAAGATCAGAATGTACAAAATTTAAACTAGTTTGTAAAGGAAATAAGTGCAATAATGCAAATAATAAAAGCCTGACTTGATTCCCTTAATAAAACCTTACCAGGACTATCCAAACAACTCAAATAGTTTGAGTACTTTAACTAATTGAAACTGTGTAAATGATTTAAACAATTTAGATAAGGGGGAAGCCCTTTAAAGAAACAAAAGATCAGTATTTAAATTGCTGAAACTATTCTTGTAAAGGAACTTTTGTTGAAAAATTTGAAAAAAATAAGTGCTGTCTTTATTGCCTTAATAAAATCTTTCCAGGACGATTTACATAATTGAAATAATTGTAAATATTTTCAATAATTTAAATACCCCTTATTTAAATCATTTAAGTTATCTTGGAGAGGCTTTTTAAACTGCTTAACTTACTTAAATGAAGGCAGCAGCCTTTAATCAAATATCAGTACTTTATCTATTTATATTCCTGTATATTATGTTGGAAACGAGATAGGTTAAGTAATTTAAATAATGCAACGAACTTCAATAACTTAATCAATTTGAGGTGTTATTATTAATAATTTCAATTAAGTAGATTGTTCAAGTCATTTCAACAATTAGTAGTTAAACTAATTAAACCGATGCGTTAAATAGACAATAAAGGAGCCTCGCTCACATGCATATATACATATACATATATGAGAGAGGCG